CTATAATGAATAGTGTATAAGTGGAATGGGAGCCGTCAGATCTTCATCATGCGGTTCAGAATGTACATCACTATTTTAATTTTAAGTTTTTTTTATATAAATCTGATGAATATGAAATTTTGGGTGTATATATCTAACACTATTGTGCACCATATAAAAAAATTATTTTTAATAATTTAAAATTATCAAAATACCCCCATCATTTTTCACAGGTATTTCGATCATTTTATATTATTAGAAATATTATATATATTTTTTTTTATTTGTGCACCTTATTGTTTAGTACTTATGTCCAAAATTTCATTATGAATCGATTTATAGAAAAATAATTAAAATTAAAACAGTGATATACATTATGCACCGCATGATGAAGATTTGACGACTCCCATTTAACCTATAGTACTATTCATTATAGTTGGTCAGCTATTGTTAGCTTTTTCCATATGTATATATAACAAGGGAAATGACCTTATGAGACCCTCCCACACCTATGTGTGTAGGACCCAAAAGGTTCATGATTAAATTTGGTACAAATCTCTAGAAAAGTCAAGTCCCACACCTATGTGATCACTTTTCTATAGATCTGTGCTAAATTTAATGGCGATCCTTTAGGGTCCTATACACATGGGTGTGAGAGGGTCTCATAGGATCATTACTCATATAACAATAGCTAACCAGCTATAATGAATAGTAATCTGGGTGGAATGGGAGCAGTCAGATCTTCATCATGCGGTTCATAATGTATATCATTGTTTTAATTTTAATTATTTTTTTATAAATTGGATCAAAATGAAATTTTTGACATATGTACTAAAAAATAGGGCACACAAATAAAAAATATATAAAAATAGTTCTCAAAATAAAAAATGATTGAAATGCCCCTGAAAAATATCGGGGGTATTTTGGTCCTTTTAAATTATCGAAATAATTTTTTTATGTGGTGCGCAATAGTATTAGGTATATACATCCAAAATTTCATATTAATCTGAATTTATATAAAAAAACTTAAAATTAAAATAGTGATGTGTAATGAAGTTCTGACAGCTTACATTCCACCTATAAATTATTCATTATAGCTGGCCAACTGTTGTAAAGTTTACCCCCTATATATATATATAGCAGAGCTCAGGAAAAAATTACTCTTTGCCCTTAAAGAAGAAGTAGAAGTTAAAAAACCAACTTCCTCAAATGATACAGAAACAGAAGATCTAGCCCCTCCAAATGAATATGATTGTTGGAGATATTTTTCCAACTAAATTAGATGAAATATCAAGGACGGTACGACTCCATCACCATTTAGGACATGTGACCCCAAAAATGATGGTAAAAGAAGACTAACAACACATCAATCACTATTGCTACAATAAAAGAAGCATTATTGACGACACTGTTGCTACAGCAAAAGAAGCATTATTGTCGACACTATTGCTACAGTAAAAACAACAAGAATGATTGCTTTTACCCTACCTTTTGCTTTGACGTGAACGAAAGTGCATCTTACCTTGTCGGTACGGACTTAAGAGTGTTTGGAATCCGCCCTCCCCTTTTCTATAAAACGAGGACTAGGCCTCAGAAGTAAGACACTTTGGGAATATATATATATGTATATATATATATATATATATACATATATATATATATATGGGATTGTACACAATGAGACCATTTACCTTTGATAGAAGGTGGTTACAATGCCTTATAACTATTTGATGTGAAACTTGATAGCTTGGATGCGTCAAAAAGTTCGATAAAATTTCATTTCAAGTTTGAGTTTGGTCAATGGAA